CGTGTCGGGGCCGGGGCGCGCCCTGCGTGTCGCCCCCGGGGACGGCCGCTCCTGCCCTTTCACCTTGTTCTCCAGCCACCCTCTGCCCCCTTCTTCCTCCTCCGTGCCCGGTTCCCGGGCATCCTGCCTTTCCCGACGTGTGTGGCGTTTTTCTGAGGCTTCCTAACCGCCCCTGTTCCTCAGCGTCTTCCTCGGCCTCTGCCGCCGCAGCCTTTCGAGCCCGACTGGTGACTTTGCCCTCAGGTGAAGCGCAGGTCGCGGTGCTGGCTGGGGTGGTCAAGCCCTGAACACCTGTAGCTGGAGGAAAGGGTCCCGCGTTGAGGGGGGGACGTGGGGAGTGGCTGACTTTGGGCTTGCTTTACTATGTTTTTATGCGTGCAAGGTCCACGAGCAATCGCAGCAGCGGCGCTGAAACCTGCAGTGGTCAGTACGTGTGCAGCTGGCAAATGCGTAGCAACCGGCCTGCTTGGGAACCGGGGTTTAGCCTGTTGCTATGTTGGTAAAGATTATGTTGGGGCTAGAAAAATTTATTTTTCTAAAAATCTTTTTTTCTCTAAATCTCTTTTACATCGTCTGTTTCTTCTTTGTTTGAAGGGTAAAGAAAACGAGGTGCAGTGCTTCTGGGCCAGTCTGCCTGCAGCTGCTAACAGGGCAGCAGAATGTCTTGCTTTTGTACCTACCTCTATCCAGCTCCCAAGTAAAAAAACCTGCTGCTTCCCTTCATCAGCTCTGCTGCTTATTCAGCTCCTTAATGAGGTGGCTTAACCCACTCATCCAGCAGGGAAGGACCAGAAAATAGCAACTTGTTTCTCAGGTCACAGAGTTGAACTGACTTCCCAGAGGGTGAGATACCCTGAGGGAGGACTGTGTAGCGAGTAAGATGAGGGAGCTGGGCTGTCCTTTTGGTGTCAGTAAACTGTTGGTTCGTACAGCTGAATCCATCTAGTCATAGTCTCGTGGGCCTGCATTTTATTAAAAACCTGCTTTCCACCTTTTGTGATGACAAAGGAAAGGGTAACGGTGGCAGGACTGACACAGCAGGGTCTGCCTACGTCTGGAAACAGCCTTAACACCCAGCCTTAACATCACTGTCACACGGAAGCAAAGCCTTTTCTGCTTGTGAGCACGCGGGTTTTTAGGTTATGAGGAAAACTGTGCTGGTCCCCATGTAATAATTTCTGTCCTTTCTTAGCTTGGTTTCCGTAGAGCGAAGTTACAAGGCAGGATGGGAACTTAAACTGCTGCAGCTCTGCCTGTGTGTGTATTGGAGTAAGAATACCCAAGGTGGATTACAGAATGCCTCTTTGAAAGTAGTTTCAGGTTTGCTGAACGCTTGCATTTATTTTCGCGTAAATGTCCGGAAGAGGAAAGTGTTGCCATTGACTATATAGAAACATTTTCATCGTATAAAAAGGATCTTGAAAGATTCTTCCTCCTGTCCCCTCTTGCCCCATGTTGCTATTTAAAGTGCCCAAAGCAAGCAAGCATTTGCATCAATGCTTAATATAAAAGAAGAAAGAATATTTTATAACTAGAACCCTGTTTCTTCCAGACCCTGGGTTACAATTAAATTTGAGTATGTTTTCCTAGATCTTTATAATAATAGAAGTTGGGTTTGGAACTTGGCTGCGTACAGGTCAGCACCGACACGTTTAACGTTTGCCTTGTGAAGCGTATAGATAAGTTACTATACATTTATGCGTACCTGTGTTATTTTGATTTACATTATCTTTGCTTTCTCTAAGGTCCCTACCCCTGATTAATTGTCCCTCCTTTTCCTGGTTTCACTCTCACCCATAGAGACACTGTGCTTTTATTTCATTTGAGGAAAGATAAGGGGTGGCAGCTGTTTTGCTTTAACAGAGTGAAATTTTGACGCTGCTTTTGCTTTCTTCTGATTTTAGTTGTTTATCAGAATAGTGCTTGCAGCTGTTGGGTGGCAGGGCAAGAGTTGGCAAGTCTAAAACACCGACTATCTTGTACCTTGGCGTTGCAGCTTTCACTGAGGAGTTGAGGTGTGCAAGCGTAATTGCGAATGAAGAGAGTACCAACCCAGAAAGCGAGTGCTATGAGTTACTGACATGCTTACTTATAAACAGTATTTTCTTAAATCCTGAGTTTTAATCTAGTGTTGTCTCAGGTGTGGGTATTTCACTACTAAATGTAAGATTGCATATGGATTCTAATTATAGATTCATAGCTGACATTTGCTCTGATTCTGTATTTCTGAGCTCCTCCAAAGTCATTTTCTCAAAGCTTCATTTCTAAAGCAAGTAGCACAAAGGGGGTAAGCTTGAATGAGAACCTCTCTCCTGGCAAGGAAGTCCTAAGGCTGAGTGACTCAAAATGCACACAACGCTTAGGTGGCTTCTTGAAATAAAGCTTTGCTGTACGTAACCCACATTCATTATATGTCGGTGTGGTCATTTAATACTGTTCAGCCACTAAAAGTATCCCATAATGATGCTTTACCTTTAATGATGCAACTCACTATAGCCCTCAGCTAAGTAGTGTATTGTTCTGCTGATTATTAATATAAATATCTTGCTGAAGGGCTTGAATGGAGCTCCAACTTCTGCTGCGGTTGGGAGTTTTACCTGGCTTATCTTTTCAAGGTAATTGCTGACCTTTCCCTATCTTGAGTGGTCAGCTCACAGCAGGGAGAGAAACTGATATCCGGCTAAGGAAGCCTGATTTGCACAATAATTTGAAGACCATTTCCATTTTTGTCATCCTGTTGTAGAGGTGGGCTTCCTCTCTGATGACTGTACTCACGTTTCCTTCTATGATGCCTTGGCAGAGAGCTGAGAAGCCTTTCATATGGTGATTGCTACATTAATTACTTTAATTTTTGTGTTAATTTCATTTTCAAAAAGCTGTCTGCTTTTGGCAGTATCTCTTTGTTTTACTCAAGTAACGTGCAGTACTGTGGTGACTGGCAGTTTTCCAGGAGGACTGACTAGCTACAGCAAATTGAAATGTGAACAAAAAAGATGAACTGATTCATTAAAAAGGTTTTATATTTTTCAAGGTAAATCTGTATATTGAAGTCACTTCCCTCTAATTAGCCCTTAATTTCTAGGGGCCCGATTCTGAGGTTCTGACAGAACTTGGTTTGCCATTAAAATCAGTGACAGCTGATGTAAGAGCCCTAGCCAAAGAAAGGAAAAATGCCTGTTTAAGTGTAGCATGCAGTGGTCGCCGCAGGGACTTGCAAGTAAGAACGTGTTAGAACGCATTCAAAGGCGGGATTGGAAGATTTTGAATTACTGCTCTTAGGTACGTCCTTGGCGG